GCGATCTTGGTGGTTCTAAAAATGCATATAACTGCATTCTGCTAACAGTCTTGGGCCAGTCGAGATTCTGTTCTGTAGCTCGCGAGCACTGACTTTGATTTATCCAAGTTGTGAATATTTTCAGGCCAATCCCGTGGATCACTGTACGGACGCGCTGAGTGAAGCGCAATGCAGAATGGTGGAGGCACCGAATGCGATAAAAGACGGAGAGGGTTGCGCGTGGCTGGATCCAGCCGATAAGGCAGACGCGGAAGTGGGTTGCGTATGGGCGGAAGAAACTGATAAATATATTCTGTAAACTGGTCAATAAATTATCGTTAAACTTTGCTGCTTGCGAACCTCATTCTGCGTAAAATTTCCGTTTTTTGCAGCTATGCATTGCGGAAACCGCATATTGACGAGAGGTTGTCTGTGTGTGCGTTGGGCCTCTGTACCGATTTTTCATCTCGAGGCCGACAAAAGCTACAGGGCTGAAACTTTGGGGACTTAATCTACATGCACGTACGAATCCCCATCCCCAGAATGGGCGGTTTTACCTGCGCGGTACCCAAGCAAGAGCCCGCCAAAGTTTCCTACGGTAAGTTGTTAACTCGCGGACCAGAAAAGTTAGAAAGCTGGAATTTTAAGGGGATGTTTCCTTCTCAAATAGGTATTAATGAGCTCAAACCCAGCCCTGGGTAGGCGTGGTACCCGCGCACGATCCCACCAAAATTTTTTTCGGGCAAGTTGATAACTCGAGAACCTGAAAAGCTAGAATGCTGTAATATTAAGAGGATGTTCCTCGTCCACATTAGTCTCAACGAGCTCAAACCCAGCCCTCCGGTCATGAGTGGTACCTATGCACGGGTTTACCAAAGTCTTCCTCGGGTAACTTCGTGAATCGAGAACCTGAAAACCTAAAAGGGCGTAGTTTTAAGATGTTCCTCCAAGTAAGTCTCAACGAGCTCAAACCCAGAAATCGGGTATGCGTGATACCCGCGTGCGGGCCTGTGAAAGTTTTTTCCGGAAAATTGCTAACTCAGGAGCCAGGAAAACCAGAAAGCTGAAATTTTAAGGAGGTGTTTCCTGCCAGTTCTGGCGGCTAGTCCTAATTTGTTTAACTAGAAGCATTTGCCAAAAAAATCGTTGTCGGTAGCGACAAAAACTGCCGGGAATTGTGCAAAAAACGCATCTTCGCACGGACAGCCCGTGTGTAATGCACTACATTTCAAAAGCCGGATGATGTGTTCTGGTGGATATCGTAAAGAACGCCTTTCTGGCCACGGAGAAGGACCAAAAAAAAAAATACCGAAAAATCGCTAGGCCTTAATTACATGTCTTTCGTTTGTTCCACTGGAAAACCGGGATGATTGTGTCTACACATTAGCTGTCCTGCTGACCTCGGTATTTTTGACAGTTATTGGAACTCAGCTCGACTGAACATGTCTGAACGGGTGCTTTACTTAAGCTGGAAATACGATAGCAAGAATCGAAGGCAGATAGCTCAGACAGGTGAACTTGGCTGGCATATCTAGGCTGTGATTGTAACTCTGCCAATTTTTATGGAAAGTGAAATTGTATGTTACACTGACTGGAGCAAAAAGCTTTGTTGTTGTACCGAATGCCAAGGTTTCATTTCGATCACCAACGGTCTTTCTGTGATTCTTTCATTCGTTTCGATAATAAATTGGTAGTGGCACGTGCCTGGGAATCAAATCCACTCATTATCTTTATCTTATTTAGAATCAACATGCAATCAGCTTACCAGTAAATGGGTGCCATCGACAGACTTTCGTATTTACTTTATTACTTCCGAGTGCCTCCTCTCCTCACAGAAAGTGAATATAGGGAAAGTTTTGGCTGTGGATTCTAAAAAATCACTTACGTCAATGTAATTTTTCCTAAAAGTTTTTTTTTTCAAAAAACAACAAAACAAATTGGGCAATAACAGGTTTTTTTTTAGTAGCGTCGAGCTGTTTTCGTTCACGAAAACAGTGCCAATTTAACTTTTTTAAACATGCTGTTGTTTTTAACTTTTACGACTTTCATTTTTTCTCAACTTTTGCGACTTCTCTTTTAATAATTACTTCTTTTCTAAAAGGAAGAGCTGTATAACCGAAGTGATATTGATTTTGAACTTCCTGAAATATTGTTCGTTATAATTACTTTGGTTAGTAGAAATTCGTAGCGTGGTTTAACAGTTGTGCAGCGGGCAACCTTTTCAACTGCTTTGACTAATTTTGCATTGTCTGGTGGTCAGCCTGCTAATGACTGACCAACGAAATGAATGAACAAATCATAGAAGGATTGTTTGTCCTACCAGCAGAATCGAGCCGATCTGCTGCACGACAACAGCACTGTCCCACTGCATCCATTCCTGCTCGGCCTTTTTCTGGTAAATGATAGATTTTAAAATTAATGAACTAATATTTTTTGCAGCCAGAACATGCGCCAAATGCGAATTTTAATTTTCCTCATCGCTGCTTGCATTGCCTTTACTACTGGTAAGCGTTAGTTCTTACCTTATTAATTGGGCTGCGCATATCGTTCACCTTCCCGAAAACTTCTGAGCATCGCGTGATAACGATTTGGTACTCACGATAAAATAAACGACCACTTTTGCAGCTCCCAAAGAGTGGGCTGCACAAATTGGACAGGTAACATGTACAAAATGAAGGTATGTGCAGTCCGAAATGGAAGGGCCTGATGTAGTTTACACCCGCGGTAACATCACTGACGTGGGATACTCACACTTACACAGAAAATTCCAAATACAAATATTATATAGATTTCTCGTGTGCTTTTTTTCAAGCCAGCAAATACTATACAAAGTTCATACATAACGCAGATTTGGTCAAATATTTTACAAAGTTCAAATAAAATATTTGTATAGTATCTGTATTTGAGCCTTTTCTACAGTAGTAATTCAGTTTTTCATTACTCATATTATATCTGTATATTATTTGCACTCTGAAAAATCCGGATTTTTATCCAAGTACTGCAGAGGTATTATATATGAGCCTTACCCATGGGAGAGGTCAACAGAAGTCATGGTACTGTGACAGCAGCGAAGTTACGGTTTTGCAGATGCGCTGCGGCGAGACGTGACTATCAATCAATTTTAGTGCGCGTTAGTTGGTCGCTAAACAGAAACTGTTCGTTTTCCTTTACGCAGAATCTGTTATGATTAAGCAACAACGATTCATACTGTTAACGAACCGATTAATTCAAGTTTGGCGCAAAGACACATGATTGTACCTGCAAGCCTAATGCGTTCCAATCTAGTCTTTCTCTTACCAAATTTTAACACTCGAAACTTTCATAAATTTTCAGCTTGAAGAATTTTCAGGAATTATCTATGTTGGACCACGACCCCTTCCTCCACGTTACTATGGACCACCCCCTCCACCACCACCCCCACCAGGAGCTGTACCACCTCCTCCACCTCCACCACCACCACCACCACCAGCACCACGCTATTACGGCCCGGTATTACGACCACGCTATTATGGCTGATTCGAGAAAGCGAAGACGTGATTTGATGCTTCATCTCTTATTTCATCAGCTGTAGTAATAACAAAGTAGATATTTAACAATAAATACAATCACAAGTGTTCAAAAGTTCATCGGTGTGAAAATTTTACGATTCAGTGATTCGTTGATTCGGCATCTGCCGGCAGGTCGCTGCATTTTTAGATGATCATTATTTCCAGAAATCGGCTGTCCTCCCCAAATTAGTCTCGACATCGTTTACTCTTAAACAATATAGTCGAACCTGTTTCCACCGAGACAGGCATGAATGCTAGGAAAGAAAACGGGTGCTTTTCTTGTGCTTGCACTCAAAAACCGCCATGAAGGTTTTAAGTACTAAAATTTGATAAGAGAAAGACCAGACTGGAATGTACCAGACTTGCAGGTGCGATCATGCTATTTTGTGCCAAAGTTGAAGTAATCGGATTGTTAACAGCATGAATGGTTGTTGTTTAAATAAAAAAAAACTTGTTTACGGTTGTGTTTTTCGCAGCTCTCGCGCTATAGCCTACAAATGAGTGCAGATTACGCTGCCGAAGCGAGTCGAGTTTCCGAAACTCGAATCCAAAATCTAGACTACCTCCGAGATCCTCCGCTTCTCATGCAAAATGAATAAGGAAGTTTTGATCCCGACTTTGAAAAAATTGCCAACGCGTTTGCATTAGCACAACTTTTTCGGAAAAAAGATTTGTTAGAAACAGTTTTTCTTTTCAAGGAAGAGCAAAACAACTTGAGCGGCAACAGGTTTTTTTTATTCCGTCCAGTTATTTTTGCCTATATAAGTACAATTGGCAATTCTACTTTTTAAGATGTGCAGTTTTCTCTTTAACTTTTATTACTTTCGTCTTCAACACTTAAAATCATGCTTCGTTTGGTTGTTTTTGTTTTTCACTGAAAAGTGGCCGGAAACGACGAGCCATGGATAATTTTAAAAGGATATATAGCTGCTTTTTTTTCTGAGATCGAAGGCTATTCGGATGAAATGTTTTTGAACTTCCTGAAATGTTTTTCTATATACTTACTTTGATCAACTGAAATTCATAAAATGGTTTACAAGCAATGTAGCTAGCAGCTTCTCCAATTGCCTCGACCGGTGCTATTTCGAATGATGGTCATTTTGCAAACATTTTTGATGGTTCATTTCGGCTCCTCAAATTAGGGTCTTCTTTTTTATCATTTATAAAATTTTAAGACTAAAACACCTGCTTCGCTCATAACGAATGAATTGTGAGAGGTACTTGGTACTTCAAAATACGGGGAAACCGAATAGGAACTTTTGGTTCTGTTGAGTAAAGCTTAAAAGTTTGGTTAATCAGGGTCAGGAGCACAGGGCTCTTCCAAGCAATCAGTAGGCTATCACTATCATAGAGCAAAGCCAAAGAATCAAAACTTCTTACGCATTCCTTCCTTACTGAGGTATCCTGTAGAAGTAATCCAAGCTGTGGCAAGTGCCAACAACAACAACACTTCAACTAGACTCTCAGTGGTCCTCTGTTTCAAAAATTTCTTTATAACAAGCTCCTAGACATAAGTCAATGCCTTTTCACACGACGAATGAATGAATCGCCGAAACATTGCTTGTTTTAGTGACAGAGCCGAATATCTTCGACATTTGCGCGAATCTTGCCACTGCACCAGTTTTGCCTAGTAATTACCAAATTTTTAAATTAATTATTTGATGTTTTTTTTCCAGCCAAAGCACATCAAATGCGAGTTTTAATTTTCCTTTTCGCTGTTTGTATTGCCTCTGCCGTTGGTAAGTATTAATTTTTACGCTGTTAGCCTGAGCAGGGCATACCATTCGTCTTCCTAACAACCATTAAACGTTGCACATTAGTGACTGTTACCCACGAGAAAGTAAACGACCATTCGAATAACCTCTGAACAAAGGCTGGAACGCACCAGGCGAGCCGGTGCGATCATGCGTTTTTGCATTAAAACTAAAGTAA